AACTTAGGATATACAGAGGGTCACAAGCTGCTTGTCCCTGTCAGTGACTCCCACCCCGTGACCCATTGTGTGCTTCCCTCTCTAGGCTTCCCACATTCCCCAGATAGACGAAAGGTAGCGATCTTTAGATTTTTTATATAAAATAGCAAAGTCTAACTAAGTATGTACCTTTTGGATCTCACACCTAATCTTTATGGGCTACAATAATTTTCCAATAAAAGGCTTATTTAATTATTGTTTTTCTTGTTCATCCTTTGGTCAAACTTCTTCATGGTCCACAAATTTGACCAGAATTGAGGTGTGTGCCTAGAAAAAGAAATCTTTGTAGAACAGGAAATCAGGAGGTATAAAAAGGAAACTAAATACTTGAAAAAAAAAAGGAGAAGGTGACTATAAATGTTTTTTCCTCTCCTAAACGAGAGAATACAATTTTCTACCGGCAGAATTTGTTAAATAATGTTGAGAATGTGCTAGTTCTTTTTAAAGAACAAATTGTATGAATGATGTACCTCCAAGATATCTACCCATTGATTAAGAACTTACTTATCTCAGGGAATTAAGTAATTTGTATACTAAATAAGCAAAGGATGCGTTTGGCTTTATGTATGTGAGCTCAAAAGAAAATCTCATTGGAGGTATTTTAAAACTTCAATGTGACATATTCATGCCTTCTCTCAGCAAACGGAAATATCCTTAAATCTTCAGCCTCAAGCCAAGGGCCTGGAGTAGAGTGGGTGCCCAGGGTTCTGGCAGAATCCATAACTCAGCATATGAAACTCCTTATTGGTGCAGAGCGGTCTTCAAGAGTCTTAACAATTCCTGTGCTCTTCTATAATAAAGATGCCCCTGATGGTTTCTGAATTGCATAGGACAGCTTCTGGAAACATTAAATGCCACCATAGATCTGGGCTTTCCTTGTTTTTTCTAATGATTCTACATACTGCCATCTGTTATGTCTTATTGAAGTCACTGTAGCAGTGTCTCCTCACCCACCCACCCTACCTACTGAGGATGAATATACTTCTTTTTAGGGAAAGAACTTGGAAATGTATAGTTCTAGGGAGGTGGTACCATTTTTTTTTT